CCTCCCTCAGTTCCTCCCTCAGTTCCTCCCTCAGTTCCTCCCTCAGTTCCTCCCTCCCTCAGTTCCTCCCTCAGTTCCTCCCTCAGTCCCTCCCTCAGTTCCTCCCTCAGTTCCTCCCTCAGTTCCTCCCTCAGTCCCTCCCTCAGTTCCTCCCTCAGTCCCTCCCTCAGTTCCTCCCTCAGTTCCTCCCTCAGTTCCTTCCTCCCTCAGTTCCTTCCTCCCTCAGTTCCTCCCTCAGTTCCTTCCTCCCTCAGTTCCTCCCTCAGTTCCTCCCTCAGTTCCTCCCTCCCTCAGTTCCTCCCTCAGTTCCTCCCTCAGTCCCTCCCTCAGTTCCTCCCTCAGTTCCTCCCTCAGTTCCTTCCTCCCTCAGTTCCTCCCTCAGTTCCTCCCTCAGTTCCTCCCTCAGTTCCTTCCTCCCTCAGTTCCTCCCTCAGTTCCTTCCTCCCTCAGTTCCTCCCTCAGTTCCTCCCTCAGTCCCTCCCTCAGTTCCTCCCTCAGTTCCTCCCTCCCTCAGTTCCTCCCTCAGTTCCTTCCTCCCTCAGTTCCTCCCTCAGTTCCTTCCTCCCTCAGTTCCTCCCTCAGTTCCTTCCTCCCTCAGTTCCTCCCTCAGTTCCTCCCTCAGTCCCTCCCTCAGTTCCTCCCTCAGTTCCTCCCTCAGTTCCTTCCTCCCTCAGTTCCTCCCTCAGTTCCTCCCTCAGTCCCTCCCTCAGTTCCTCCCTCAGTTCCTCCCTCAGTTCCTCCCTCAGTCCCTCCCTCAGTTCCTCCCTCAGTTCCTCCCTCAGTTCCTCCCTCAGTTCCTTCCTCCCTCAGTTCCTTCCTCCCTCAGTTCCTCCCTCAGTTCCTCCCTCAGTTCCTCCCTCAGTTCCTCCCTCAGTCCCTCCCTCAGTTCCTCCCTCAGTTCCTCCCTCAGTTCCTCCCTCAGTTCCTTCCTCCCTCAGTTCCTCCCTCAGTTCCTTCCTCCCTCAGTTCCTCCCTCAGTTCCTCCCTCAGTTCCTCCCTCAGTTCCTTCCTCCCTCAGTTCCTCCCTCAGTTCCTCCCTCAGTTCCTCCCTCAGTTCCTCCCTCAGTTCCTCCCTCAGTTCCTCCCTCAGTTCCTCCCTCAGTTCCTCCCTAAGTTCCATCCTCCCTCAGTTCCTCCCTCAGTTCCTCCCTCAGTCCCTCCCTCAGTTCCTCCCTCAGTTCCTCCCTCAGTTCCTTCCTCCCTCAGTTCCTTCCTCTATCAGTTCCTCCCTCAGTTCCTCCCTCAGTTCCTCCCTCAGTCCCTCCCTCAGTTCCTCCCTCAGTTCCTCCCTCAGTTCCTCCCTCAGTTCCTTCCTCCCTCAGTTCCTCCCTCAGTTCCTCCCTCAGTTCCTCCCTCAGTTCCTCCCTCAGTTCCTCCCTCAGTTCCTCCCTCAGTTCCTCCCTCAGTTCCTCCCTCAGTTCCTCCCTCAGTTCCTCCCTCAGTTCCTCCCTCAGTTCCTCCCTCAGTTCCTCCCTCAGTCCCTCCCTCAGTTCCTCCCTCAGTTCCTCCCTCAGTTCCTCCCTCAGTTCCTTCCTCCCTCAGTTCCTCCCTCAGTTCCTCCCTCAGTTCCTCCCTCAGTTCCTCCCTCAGTTCCTCCCTCAGTTCCTCCCTCAGTTCCTCCCTCAGTTCCTTCCTCCCTCAGTTCCTTCCTCCCTCAGTTCCTCCCTCAGTTCCTCCCTCAGTTCCTTCCTCCCTCAGTTCCTTCCTCCCTCAGTTCCTCCCTCAGTTCCTCCCTCAGTTCCTCCCTCAGTTCCTCCCTCAGTCCCTCCCTCAGTTCCTCCCTCAGTTCCTCCCTCAGTTCCTTCCTCCCTCAGTTCCTCCCTCAGTTCCTCCCTCAGTTCCTCCCTCCCTCAGTTCCTCCCTCAGTTCCTCCCTCAGTCCCTCCCTCAGTTCCTCCCTCAGTTCCTCCCTCAGTTCCTTCCTCCCTCAGTTCCTCCCTCAGTTCCTTCCTCCCTCAGTTCCTCCCTCAGTTCCTCCCTCAGTCCCTCCCTCAGTTCCTCCCTCAGTTCCTCCCTCAGTTCCTCCCTCAGTTCCTTCCTCCCTCAGTTCCTCCCTCAGTTCCTCCCTCAGTCCCTCCCTCAGTTCCTCCCTCAGTTCCTCCCTCAGTTCCTCCCTCAGTTCCTCCCTCAGTCCCTCCCTCAGTTCCTCCCTCAGTTCCTCCCTCAGTTCCTCCCTCAGTTCCTTCCTCCCTCAGTTCCTTCCTCCCTCAGTTCCTCCCTCAGTTCCTCCCTCAGTTCCTCCCTCCCTCAGTTCCTCCCTCAGTTCCTCCCTCAGTCCCTCCCTCAGTTCCTCCCTCAGTTCCTCCCTCAGTTCCTTCCTCCCTCAGTTCCTCCCTCAGTTCCTCCCTCAGTCCCTCCCTCAGTTCCTCCCTCAGTTCCTCCCTCAGTCCCTCCCTCAGTTCCTCCCTCAGTTCCTCCCTCAGTCCCTCCCTCAGTTCCTCCCTCAGTTCCTCCCTCAGTTCCTCCCTCAGTTCCTTCCTCCCTCAGTTCCTTCCTCCCTCAGTTCCTCCCTCAGTTCCTCCCTCAGTTCCTTCCTCCCTCAGTTCCTCCCTCAGTTCCTTCCTCCCTCAGTTCCTCCCTCAGTTCCTCCCTCAGTTCCTCCCTCAGTTCCTCCCTCAGTTCCTTCCTCCCTCAGTTCCTCCCTCAGTTCCTCCCTCAGTTCCTCCCTCCCTCAGTTCCTCCCTCAGTTCCTCCCTCAGTCCCTCCCTCAGTTCCTCCCTCAGTTCCTCCCTCAGTTCCTCCCTCAGTTCCTTCCTCCCTCAGTTCCTCCCTCAGTTCCTCCCTCAGTTCCTTCCTCCCTCAGTTCCTCCCTAAGTTCCATCCTCCCTCAGTTCCTCCCTCAGTTCCTCCCTCAGTCCCTCCCTCAGTTCCTCCCTCAGTTCCTCCCTCAGTTCCTCCCTCAGTTCCTTCCTCCCTCAGTTCCTTCCTCTATCAGTTCCTCCCTCAGTTCCTCCCTCAGTTCCTCCCTCAGTCCCTCCCTCAGTTCCTCCCTCAGTTCCTCCCTCAGTTCCTCCCTCAGTTCCTTCCTCCCTCAGTTCCTCCCTCAGTTCCTCCCTCAGTTCCTCCCTCAGTTCCTCCCTCAGTTCCTCCCTCAGTTCCTCCCTCAGTTCCTCCCTCAGTTCCTCCCTCAGTTCCTCCCTCAGTTCCTCCCTCAGTTCCTCCCTCAGTTCCTCCCTCAGTTCCTCCCTCAGTTCCTCCCTCAGTTCCTCCCTCAGTTCCTCCCTCAGTCCCTCCCTCAGTTCCTCCCTCAGTTCCTCCCTCAGTTCCTTCCTCCCTCAGTTCCTCCCTCAGTTCCTCCCTCAGTCCCTCCCTCAGTTCCTCCCTCAGTTCCTCCCTCAGTTCCTCCCTCAGTTCCTCCCTCAGTTCCTCCCTCAGTCCCTCCCTCAGTTCCTCCCTCAGTTCCTTCCTCCCTCAGTTCCTTCCTCCCTCAGTTCCTCCCTCAGTTCCTTCCTCCCTCAGTTCCTCCCTCAGTTCCTCCCTCAGTTCCTCCCTCAGTTCCTCCCTCAGTTCCTCCCTCAGTTCCTCCCTCAGTTCCTCCCTCAGTTCCTCCCTCAGTTCCTCCCTCAGTTCCTCCCTCAGTTCCTCCCTCAGTTCCTTCCTCCCTCAGTTCCTCCCTCAGTTCCTCCCTCAGTCCCTCCCTCAGTTCCTCCCTCAGTTCCTCCCTCAGTTCCTTCCTCCCTCAGTTCCTCCCTCAGTTCCTCCCTCAGTCCCTCCCTCAGTTCCTCCCTCAGTTCCTCCCTCAGTCCCTCCCTCAGTTCCTCCCTCAGTTCCTTCCTCCCTCAGTTCCTTCCTCCCTCAGTTCCTCCCTCAGTTCCTTCCTCCCTCAGTTCCTCCCTCAGTTCCTCCCTCAGTTCCTCCCTCAGTTCCTCCCTCAGTTCCTCCCTCAGTTCCTCCCTCAGTTCCTCCCTCAGTTCCTCCCTCAGTTCCTCCCTCAGTTCCTCCCTCAGTTCCTCCCTCAGTTCCTTCCTCCCTCAGTTCCTCCCTCAGTTCCTCCCTCAGTCCCTCCCTCAGTTCCTCCCTCAGTTCCTCCCTCAGTTCCTTCCTCCCTCAGTTCCTCCCTCAGTTCCTCCCTCAGTCCCTCCCTCAGTTCCTCCCTCAGTTCCTCCCTCAGTCCCTCCCTCAGTTCCTCCCTCAGTTCCTTCCTCCCTCAGTTCCTTCCTCCCTCAGTTCCTCCCTCAGTTCCTTCCTCCCTCAGTTCCTCCCTCAGTTCCTCCCTCAGTTCCTCCCTCAGTTCCTTCCTCCCTCAGTTCCTCCCTCAGTTCCTCCCTCAGTTCCTCCCTCAGTTCCTCCCTCAGTTCCTCCCTCAGTTCCTCCCTCAGTTCCTCCCTCAGTTCCTCCCTCAGTTCCTCCCTCAGTTCCTCCCTCAGTTCCTCCCTCAGTTCCTCCCTCAGTTCCTCCCTCAGTTCCTCCCTCAGTTCCTCCCTCAGTTCCTCCCTCAGTTCCTCCCTCAGTTCCTCCCTCAGTTCCTCACTCCTTATGCCCCTACCTCTGCCCCAACGTTGTTTTCGCACCAGCCTAGCAGCCACGTCCTTGGTAGCGAGGATGTAGTCGGGCACCAGGCACACCTGCCCCCTCTCCTTGTGCCCCTCGTCACTTTCCCTACCATCCCCTCTTCTCCCTATCCCTGTCCCTTCTCCCCCTCTCCTCTCACCAGCCTAGCAGCCACGTCCTTGGTAGCGAGGATGTAGTCGGGCACCAGGCACACCCGCCCGCCCCTTCATCCTTCTTACCATTCTGTACCTCTTTCAACCTCCCTATACCGACCTCTAGACGTACCAGCCTAGCAGCCACGTCCTTAGTGGCGAGAATGTAATCGGGCACCAGGCACACCTGCCCCGCATTCGTGCACTTGCCAGATACAATCCGCTTTGCTGAGACCTGGGGGGGTGCGACGGGGTTCGGAGCGGTAGAGAGGGGCATGGGGCACCTTTGGTGGGGTATGAGGCATGGGCGTGGGGCATGGTGCATGGAGTTTGGGGCATCGGAAACTGGGTAGGAGTGCTATGGAACATGCACGTTGCACTCGAGACAACATGCACACACCTCCAGGTCAGCAGCACGCACCTCCAGGTCAGCAGACTCGTCGATGAACAGTGGATTCTTGCCGCCCAGCTCCAGAGTGACAGGTGTCAGATGCTTACTGGCCGCCTCCATCACAATGCGCCCCACAGCCGTGCCACCCGTAAAGAAGATCTTATCCCACCGCCGCCCCAGCAGTGCCTTGGCTGTTTCCGGGCCGCCTTCCACCACCTGATGGTTGCGCGGCAGGGGCAGGGCAGAGGTTTCACGAGGGACAAGGGAAGAGGAATGGGTGACCTTCTGAGGCGCTTTAACCGTGCCTTGCCTGTGCCTTGCCTGTGCCTTGCCTGTGCCTTGCCTGTGCCTTGCCTGTGCCTCACATGGCATGAAACGAGGAAGGCAGGCGGGGGTCAAGGAGCAAGAAGGCGGTTTCTCAACCAGCATCACCCCTTGCCTGTGCGTGTGTCGCGTGCGTGGTCGCTGTGAGGCGAGGCGAGGGGAGGGGCGGTGGTGAGGGCGGGATGCAGGGAAGAGGGGTGAATGGAGCCATGCGTGCAGCCCATCCCCACCGCAGCTGCACCCATCCCAGCTGTGCAGTGCTGCCTGTATGGATGGATTATGCAGAGCGGTACCTCAGCGTCCATGGCATGTTCTACATGATGTTACGCAACAACTGGGAGATAGCAGATGGTACCTGCCTGGGATAGCACCTGCCTGGGATAGCACCTGCAGCACGTGCCTGCACGGCCTGTGAGTCGAGGTAGAGGGGGAGGAGGCGCGAGAGCAGGTGCGAGCAGGAGGGGGAGTGTTCTGATGGCTTGAGAACAACCACGTTGCCCGCTGCTAAGGCTCCTATCAGCGGCTCCAAACTCAACACTGGGGGAGGGGCGTGTGGGGGAAGGGAGGAGAAAACGGCCACACAAGGATGGATAGTAGAGACAACACTGGGGGATGGGCACATGGGGAGGAAGGGAGACAGAATCGCCCACACGAGGGTGGAGTGGATAGGAGAGATGAGAACATAGATAGGGAGGAAAATAGATATCAGCATTGAAAGGCTAGAGCACCACCGCGCTGCTAGTGCGCCTATTAGCAGCTCCAGAGACAGCACTGAAGGGATGGGGGAGTGGGGGGAAGGGGAAGAAAACGCTTATGTACGAGCGCGCGGTGCAGCGTAAGAGCATTGGGACTACAGCTCCAGTCCTTACGCTGAGGTGGCATGTCGTTCACATGGCAGCAATGAGGTGGCATGGCGTTCGCATGGCAGCAATGAGGTGGCATGGCGTTCACATGGCAGCGACTATTGTTCAGCACCCTGACCTTGACTGTTAGAGCTTGTGAGTGTGCCAGCACGTACGGAGGGGGAAGTTCCAGGGCGAGATGACGAGCACCACGCCCAGCACAGTTAGTAGCACGTGGCAGGGAGAGGTGGAAAGGGGACGTACGGAGCGGGAAGTTCCAGGGCGAGATGATGAGCACCACGCCCAGTGAGCAACAAGCAAGAAGGAATGTGGCAGGGAGAGGTGGTGATGATGTACCAAAGGGGACGTGGCAGGGGAAGGCGGGAAGCACGTACGGAGGGGGAAGTTCCAGGGCGAGATGATGAGCACCACCCCCAGCGGCTCATGCACCACCTCTGAATGGCCTGGCCTCAACGTCAGTGGCGTGCCCACCTGGTCGAGAGGGGGGGGAAGGATGGGAGAGGCTGTTGAGGCACCTTGTTGAGGCGCCTCGAAACACACCCAGCGGCCCGGCCCATACACCACCTGTGAGTGGCCTGGCCTCAACGTCAGTGGTGTGCCCACCTGGAGGAGAGGGGGGGGGAAGAGAAAGATGATTTTGGCGACTTTGGTAGCGACCTCTGAGGCGCCTTTCGAGGCGCCTCTAAACACACCCAGCAGCTCATACACCACCTTAGAGCGGCCTGGCCTCAACGTCAGGGGCGTGCCCACCTGCCGTGGTGTGTGGTGTGTGGGGCGGGGGGAAGGAGGGGAGAGGCTATTGAGGCGACTAGTTGAGACGCCTCAAAACACCACCTGTGAGTGGCCTGGCCTCAACGTCAGTGGTGTGCCCACCTGGAGGAGAGGGGGGGAAAGAGAAAGATGATTTTGGCGACTTTGGTAGCGACCTCTGAGGCGCCTTTCGAGGCGGCTCACAACATGCCTAGCGGCTCATACACCACCTCTGAGCGGCCTGGCCTCAACGTCAGGGGCGTGCCCACCTGCCGTGGTGTGTGGGGGGTGGAGGGGGGGGGGAGGATGGGAGAGGCTGTTGAGGCAACTTGTTGAGGCGCCTCAAAACACGCCCAGCGGTTCATACACCGCCTCTGAGCGGCCTGGCCTCAGCGTCAGTGGCGTGCCCACCTGGTGGAAAGGGGGGGTGGGGGGGAGACCTTTTAAACGACTTTGGAGGCTACATTTGAGGCGCGTCAAAACATGCCTAGCGGCTCGTACATCGCCTCTGAGCGGCCTGGCCTCAACGTCAGGGGAGTGCCCACCTGGTGTGGGGGGGGTGTGGAAAGAAGAGGGCGTCGGTGTGACTGGTGACACATGGGAATGGATAGAGGCGAGAGAGAATGGGCAAGAGGAGATGCAACGTATTTGCCGCGGGCACGTGGTCCGGCAACGGGCTGACGGGCGAGCATCTCTGACATTTAGAGCAAACAACCCTTGCTCTACGAGGTCATGTGACAAGTCCGCCCATCAGTAAATGCATCTGATCTGGGAGGCATCAGCGGCAGTGCATCACCCACCCGCCCGCTCCCATCCATGCTCCCAGTCCGCCAATGCCCTCAACTCCCCATGCCCCCCCCTCCCCCTGCCCACCCACGCCTCCTCCCCCCACCCTTGCCCAGCCATCACCCCGGCGCACCGTTTGGGGCTGCACCCACTTGTTGAAATGCTTTAGCATGTGGCTCGCCGCCTCCCCCACGCCCTCTCCCCACCCAATGCCCCCTCCCTGCTGCTCACCCAACCCCGCTCGTTCCCCCCACCCAAGGCACCTCTCCCCACCCACCCAGGCGCACCTTCTGTGGTTTGACCCATGTCTTGAAGTGCTTCAGCATGTGGCTCGCCGCCTTCCACACGCCCAGCACCTGCGTGCGGATTGGGGGTGAGTGTAGGCAGGAAGAAAAGCAGCAGATTACACTGCCGGGTCGCTTCAGCAGGAAAACCGCTCATGCCTGCATCTTCATCAGCATGTAGCTCGCCACCTTCCACACGCCCAACACCTGCAGGCGCAAAGGGTTGGGGGTGAGTGCGGGCAGGGCAGGAAGGAAGACGGGCGGCAATATGCAATGTAATGCAGACACGCTTCAGCAGAGAATCCCCTCAGGTTTCGTCAGCATGTGGCTCGGCGCCTTCCACACGCCCCCAGCACACCTGTGACTGTGATGTGAGCATCGCAGCCCGCCTTCCTCCCAATGCTGCACATCCCACTCTCACACCATCACTCTCCCTTCATTTAAAGCCCCACTTCCAATGCCACGCCCCCACTGTCAGCCGCCTGCCTGGCGACGCCATCCTCTCAATGCCAGCCTACACAACCCGTGATTCCCTCAGAACATGTTGAGGCGCCTCAGACAGCCCGCGGTGCTACCTCGATGAGCCCCTCCATGCGATGTCTTCCTCTCAATGCCAGCCTACACAGTCCGTGACTCCTTTCAAGTATGTTGACGCGCGCCTCCTCAGACAACCCACAGTATCTCCACGAGCGCCTCCATGCTGCCGCGCCCAGGTCCGCCTTGAGCGCCGCCAGCATGTCGCCCTCGTGCCCCTCCCTTCGCCATGCGCACCAGGTTGCGCATCCTACCCGCACTCTCGCGCTCTCTCTGTATCAACGCCTCCCACCACACGCAATGCCACACCTCTATGAGCGCCTCCATGCGCCCGCGGCCCAGGTCCGCCTTGAGCGCCGCCAGCATGTCGTCCTCGTGCTCCTCCGCCATGCGCGCCACACAAGCATCACACCCGCGCTCACTGCTTCTCAACGCCACTCTCCCAATGCCACTTCCCCAATGTCAGGCTTTCAGTGTCGCCCTCTCAATGATGACCCTCAGTACCTCAATAAGCGCTTCCATGCGCCCGCGGCTCAGGTCGGCTTTAAGTGCAGCCAGCATGTCCTCCTCGTGCCCCTCTCTCCGACATGCGCAGCAGGTTGCGCAGCACATGCGCAGCACATGCGCAGCAGGTTGCACATCGTCCATCAGACGCCGTACCTCAATAAGCCCCTCCATGCGCCCGCGCCCCAGATCGGTCTTGAGCGCGGTCATCATGTCGTCCTCGTGCTCCTCCGCCATGCGCAGCAGGTTGCGCAGCTGCTGCTCGCGCCACGCCACGTTCCGCGTCTCGCCCGACCGGAACTTGAGGCGAAGCTTCGCCGCGAGTTCCTCCGCGGCGGCGTCGTCCAAGGTCTCGCCTTTCCGGCCGCCCTCCTCCACGCACGCCGCCGCCGCGCTGCCGCCCTGGTACGGCCTTTCCATGCTGGAAACGAGGCTGCTTATATCGAGACTTAAAGCGGTCGTGGTCAGAATGGGGAGTGGTATGCGGCGCGCGGCGCGCGCGGGTATTGGGGAAGACGAAGCGCGAACGAGTGTGGGTACTTAGCAACGACTCGATCGATCGTAAAGCTTATCACTTGGCGTAAGCGCGAGAAGAGGAAAGCCAGGAACAATTGACGAGCGAAATCTTCCCACCAATGGCAGCGCAAGTACGAGAGCGCCGCGGCTAGATACCGTCAGGCCACATCAAGTGTGTTCCGCTGCAGAGCAATGGGTTGGGCGGGTGAGAAGGCGGAGGCCAACATGCATTGAAGTTTGGCGCGTAGAGACCTGAGGCCCTCACAAAACAACGGTGCGAAAGAATGGTCAAATTCATGCAATAATGGCGTGGTGCATTAGAGCTGGACTTCTTACAACGATTATAACTTCCAGAAAGGTTCTACACGGTTATGTACGTTCAAATGTATTTTATTCATGGCACGAAGTGGTAAAGGCTCAAAGTGTAGTGGGTGTTAAGGATACGCATTAATTGCTTTTTTTTTTTATTTGAATGTTTTCCGTGCGCCTGTAACTCAGTGGATAGAGTGTTCGCTTCCTAAGCGAGAGGTCCAAGGTTCGACCCCTTGCTGGCGCGTTTTTTCACCTTTTGCCATAGCTCCCGGTACAAGAGCAGCAGTGAGAACAATCACCCGACCACCGACAACTGCTGTCGTTGAAATCGCTGGCGACTGTCGCAGACCATCCGATCGTTGTTCGTTGAGCGTCTGACACCCGTTCGCCAAAGGTGTTGCGGTCTGCATTTTCACCTGATTGGCTCTTCCAGATTGCGAGTCGCTGATGATTGCGCCCCCTGTCCCTTAGCGAATCGCGTTCTTCGGATCGCATTCGCTTGTTTCAGAATTTCCCATTCGGCATCTTCCCAGTAACGTTTCGCAGAGGGACACAATTTTGCGTCTTTGTGGCGCCCTCCCTCCCGCGCCCATTTCTCCAATTCACCCCAACGGGTTAGCTACTCCTGCACACACAGCCATCTTCCTTCCTAGCTCAACCAACACAACCTGTGCTTTGGCGGCTAGGTTATGAGAACGAATTTTGTCGGCCCAACAGGCGCCACGACCGTCCGAGGCGGTGGTCTTTGTTCACCGTCCTAGTTTCTTGTTTAAACACATACTACCCACTCAGGTGGTAAGCGAGTACCGCACTTTAATTCCGATATAAATCCCTTTGACCCTAACAGATCTGGTAAAACGGCCACTTTTTTTGCGACGCTGTTCATTCAACTCACAGAAGGTCTTGCTGCCATAGCTTTCCAGTGCACCTCTCGCACACTCGTGTTCTTTCATAGCAAACTAGCACGTTTCGACCGCAACCAACACGTCCAGATCGCATCCAACACATTCAGACCGCAAGCAGCAAACTCGTGCTTCACCCTCTTACTCTCGCAGTCCGCGCCACTCGCTGGCATGGCGAGGCTGACAGCCGTTCTCACTGCGTGCGTCCTCCTGTGCGCGATCCACGCAGAGTTCGCCCACGCACAGGTACCACTTCCTCCCTCTCCGCCCGCTTTCGCCCTCCTCCTGTCCCCCCCTCCCCTCCCTCCGTCTCACTTCTATTGAAACAGCAACGGTCCAAGCTTGCATCTTGCTGTGTTTCTGCTGCCGTTACCGTTCTCTGTCGTCTCAACCCCTTCCTGCTCAAACACCCGCCATCCGCGGTAGCCCCTCCCCTCCCACTGCTCTTCACCACGCGCCACACCTCTACCCCCCTTACCCGCCCCTCACCGCGCTCAACCGTCGCTCCTCGACTCACAACGCCTCTTCCACTCGCTCCCTCCTTCTCACCTCTCCCCCTCCACCTCTCTCCCCCGTACATCCGCGCAGCTGCAAACACAGGGAAAGGTATTCGAGGTGGGGTCGGGCATGCTGCGCTACTTCAGCCCGTGGAACCAAGACGTCGTGGGATGGAATTTGAGGCTCCTGTAAAGAGAAATCTTTGCTCTTTCCCTCCTTCGCGCCCCATCCCCCCCATATCCGCGCAGCTGCAAACACAGGGAAAGGTATTCGAGGTGGGGTCGGGCATGCTGCGCTACTTCAGTCCGTGGAATCAGGACGTGGTGGGATGGATTCCCCCCCGCAACATCAAACCAGGCGACCTCATTCGTAAGCCACGACCCACTTTCCTTAACGTGCCTCATAAGTAGAGCGATATGCTATATACGCTACTTCAGTCCGTGGAACCAGGACGTCGTGGGATGGATTCCCCCGAGGAACATCAAACCCGGCGACCTCATTCGTAAGCCACGACCCACTCCCTTTAATGTGCCTCAAAAGTAAACCGATTGCTATTTCAGCCCGTGGAATCACGACATGGTGGGCTGGATTCCCCCGAGGAACATCAAACCCGGCGACCTCATTCGTAAGCCACGCACCACTTTCATTAACGTGCCTCAAAAGTAGACCGAAATGCTACTTCTGCCCATAGCATCAGGACGTGGTGGGATGGATTCCCCCTCGCAACATCAAACCAGGCGACCTCATTCGTAAGCCACGACCCACGGTGACTTGGGGTACTAGCTGCGGTTGCAAACATGCGCGTTCCGACGTTCGACTCCAATTTACTGCTTCGCACACACAACAGCTCTTCTAGACCTCCGCCGCCCGTCTCTCTCCCTCTCCAATCCCCTCTTTCACCCATCCCCCTCGCCCGTCCATCCCCGTTATACAGTGTTTCGCTGGCTGGGCCGGCACGACGTGCGGCAGTTCCCAACGATCATCGGCTACAGCACTTGCAGCTTCTTTCTCTCCAAGACGCTCGCCTCGGGCAGCTACTTCGGGTTTTACCGCTACGTAGTGAAGCCCACGGATAAGGGCACCACGCTCTACTTCGGCAGCAGCATCGGCGACGACTGCCAGCGCGACATGAAGGTCGCCATCCCCATTCCCTAGGCGATTTGCGGGTTACCACGTAGTAACCCGCATCGCCTGTGCGGGACGCGTGAATGTGGTCGGTAGGAGCGTAGTGTTAGTTACGGGTTATGGTGCAGGGTAGGAGGGTAACTGGAAAAGATATCACTAATTGTAGTGGTACACCTGTGTGTACCCAAAGGAAATGATTAACATGTTTAACAGTTGGCAGAAAATCAAGTTCTTGCAAACCAGCTTCTGCGTACCCGGGTTGCAAAGCAGCGAGTGAGCGAGTGAGAGTGTGGTGGTGGCAGGTGAGGGCAGGTGAGAGTGTAGGGATGGATGGGGGAGAGGCGAGGGAATTACCGTATGTGGGCGGTGCGGCCATGTTCCCCTTGCCCTCTCGCCCCCTCGCCCTCTTAACTGTAATTACGTGCTCTGTGTCCGTACTGTTGGAAACAATTAATTCTAAGCGCCTCTGTCGTGTCGAAACACCAAGTCAGAAGCGAAGCGAAACATATCGAAGCACCGACGAGTCAACCCTCGGAGGTTGAGCAGTTGTTGGAGGTTACGCGAAAGTCAAAGGTCAGCGACCTTTAACCTGACAAGTACACCGCGACTGCAAGGACACACAACTGACTCGTTACAGAGCAGTTGTCCGAGTCGTCACTGTGTCGAACCGCAACAGCAACAGTAAAGTAGTTATAACTGTATCTCTTCATATTCCTTGTACTCTTATATAATCTTGTATCTCTTTGCTTTAATCAATCCACTTTGCCCTCACATACTAGCGCAAGGTGGTTCAACTCCTTTATTAAAACGCTTCCGCTATTACATTGTTCCTACCAAGAATTCACTCCTGCAAAGATCCTAAGGGCTATTTCTCAGCCCAACATGGTATGAGAGCTAACAGGGGAATTCAACTACCGGTACTATCAAGTCATCTACAACATTCGAAGATATGGCAACAAACAATGAAAGGAGTTCCTCTAATGGTTCTCCCGGCACTACTCCTACTCCACCTCCTGCCTCTGGCCTGCAGACAGAGGAGGGCACGGCAACGAGACCAGCAGCACATTAAGCAAGTCAACCTGCCAGCTTCGACCAGAGCATGATGGAGAAATTTTTCTCCTTCATGTCCTTCTACGAGCAACACCAGCAATCAGCACCTGCGCAGTCAAACAACAGCAACAACAACTACGAAGTGACTCCAATGAGCCTCGACGGTTCATCATACGCGCGCGGAAATCAACAGCAGCAGCCTACCTTTACTCCGTACGAGCGCGGATCTATCAGCTTCATGCCGCACCCGCAGCCTTCACCTGGACAAGAGAAGACACTGGACGCGCTTCAAGTTCAGTCGCAGTTCGCACACGTCTTAAAGCTGCAAACGTCAAGGCCTTTCGATGGAAAGGACTTCTTCACCTGGTCGTTCGAATTCGAGCTGATGATGGAAGGCGCGCAGATACTTGGCTTCTTCGACGGTTCCATGCTATACCCGACACACGGCACACAATACGACAAACAGCAGTACACATATCAGTCAATGATGGCTTATACGATTCTACTGAGGAACATCACGCCGAATCAACAGCAGAACATACGGTCTTACCGGGGATACGGCAACTCCGCCAAACTCGCATACAGCCACTTGAAGAGCCTGTATCAAGCAACAGACAGTGTTAACCAAAGTCGGTTAATGGCGCAGCTGACAACAGTTGAAATGAAACCAGGAGAAAAGGGGATGGCGTATATTAGTCGCTATCGCGAGCTGCGCGACAAGCTTCTTCGATGCGGAGGGACAATATCCGAAGACGCCTTCGTGACAGTCATCATCGGAGGACTTGGTCCTCAGTGGCGCTCCACTCGAGCCATTCTTCGATCCCACGGAAGAATTTCCGAAGCAGCACTTTGCGCCGAAATCCACGCCGAGCAGCAAGACATGGATCTGCAAGAAGAGAGACACAAGAGGAAGACATAAGCACCAGAATTCGCTTTCCACACTCAACGACGCTACAACAACAACAACAACCGACAACAACAGCCGAAGCCAGTACCTCCGTTTTGTCACATCTGCAAGACGTCAGGACATCCGCGCATGCACTGCCAGAATCAACAACAGTCAACACCTCCGCAGTGAGAGCTTCGACCTTCAAGCAGCCAAGTCGCTTCAACGCAAGCGAACCTCACCGCTCAGGTTCAAGCCTCAACAACATCAATGGGACAACCTGCGCAAGGAACAAGAAACATCGTCAGTTGTATGGCAAGACTGACCGACTCCTGCATCACCGAGTCACCGCCACACCACACCTCGCCGCGAGTCACTTCAGCCGAACCCGACATACGCAGCCATCGCCCAAAGCGAGCCATCCGGGAAAGACACCTGGTTCTTGGACAGCTGCTGCGGACAACACATGTGCTCCTCAGGACGCTTCGTACAAAGGGAATACCAACTCCAACAAGAAGTCGTCATCACCGTCGCGAACAACCAAAACCTGCACCCAAGTGTATTTCGGCGCCTACAATTTCAGCGTCATTCACAAGTGCGCAGGTTTTGGTTCAGGTTGGTTCTTGCACGAAGAAAAGTTCGGCGCCTACGATTTCGGCCGATTTTGCCGCCAAGTGCCAAGAAAGCGCGTGAATCCCTATAGGCGTAGGGAAAAGCATTCAACAACCTAAATTTTATTGCATATTCGAGTGGCCCATATTCAAATATACGTACCATAGCCTTTTTGGCTTGGTTCTTGTGCGAAGAAAAGTTCGGTGCCTACGATTTCGGCCGTTTTTGCCGCCAAGTGCCTAGAAAGCGTGTGAATCCCTATAGGCGTAGGGAAAAGCATTCAACAACCTGAATTTTATTGCATATTTGAGTGGCCCATGTTCAAATACACATACTTGAGCTTTTTTGGCTTGGTTCTTGTGCGAAGAAAAGTTCGGCGCCTACGATTTCGGCCGATTTTGCCGCTTAGTGCCTAGAAAGCGCGTGAATCCCTATAGGCGTAGGGAAAAGCATTCAACAACCTGAATTTTATTGCATATTCGAGTGGCCCATGTTCAAATATACATACTAGAGCCTTTTCGGCTTAGTTCTTGTACGAAGAAAAGTTCGGCTCCTACGATTTCGGCCGTTTTTGCCGCCAAGTGCCTAGAAAGCGCGTGAATCCCTATAGGCGTAGGGAATCTGAATTTTATTGCATATTCAAATGGCCCATCTTCAAATATACATAATAGAGCCTTTTTGGATTGCTTCTTGTGCGAAGAAAAGTTCGGCGCCTACAATTTCGGCCGTTTTTGCCGCCAAGTGCCAAGAAAGCGCGTGAATCCCTATAGGCGTAGGGAAAAGCATTCAACAACCTGAATTTTATTGCATATTCGAGTAGCCCATGTTCAAATACACATACTAGAGCCTTTTCGGCTTGGTTCTTGCGCGAAGAAAAGTTCGGCTCCTACGATTTCGGCCGTTTTTGCCGCCAAGTGCCTAGAAAGCGCGTGAATCCCTTTAGGCGTAGGGAAAAGCATTCAACAACCTGAACTTTATTGCATATTCGATTGGCTCATGTTTAAATACACATACTAGAGACTTTTTTGCTTGGTTCTTGTGCGAAGAAAAGTTCGGCGCCTACGATTTTGATCGTTATTTCCGCCAAGCGCTTAGAAAGCGCGTGAATCCCTATAGGCGTAGAGAAAAGCATTCAACAACCTGAACTTTATTGCATATTCGAGGGGCCCATGTTCAAATACACATACTAGAGCCTTTTCGGCTTGGTTCTTGCGCGAAGAAAAGTTCGGCGCCTACGATTTCGGCCGTTTTTTCCGCCAAGTGCCAAGAAATCGCGTGAATCCCTATAGGCGTAGGGAAAAGCATTCAACAACCTGAATTTTATTGCATATTCAAGTGGCCCATGTTCAAATACACATACTAGAAATTTTTCGGCTTGGTTCTTGTGCGAAGAAAAGTTCGGCGCCCACGATTTCGGCCGATTTTGCCGCCAAGTGCCAAGAAAGCGCGTGAATCCCTATAGGCGTAGGGGAAAGCATTCAACAACCTGAATTTTATTGCATATTCGAGTCGCTTATGTTCAAATACACATACTAGAGCTTTTTCGGCTTGGTTCTTGTGCGAAGAAAAGTTCGGCGCCTACGATTTCGGCAGTTTTTGCCGCCAAGTGCCTAGAAAGTGCGTGAATCCCTATAGGCGTAGGGAAAATCATTCAACAACCTGAATTTTATTGCATATTCAAGTGGCCCATGTTCAAATACACATACTAGAGCCTTTTCGGCTTGGTTCTTGTGCAAAGAAAAGTTCGGCGCCTACGATTTCGGCCGTTTTTTCCGCCAAGTGCCTAGAAAGCGCATGAATTTTTATAGGCGTAGGGAAAAGCATTCAACAACCTGATTTATTTTGCATATTCAAGTACACATACTAGAGCCTTTTCGGCTTGGTTCTTGTGCAAAGAAAAGTTCGGTGCCTACGATTTCGGCCGTTTTTGCCGCCAAGTGCCTAGAAAGCGCGTGAATCCCTATAGGCGCAGGGAAAAGCATTCAAAAAACCTGATTTTTATTGCATATTCGAGTGGTCCATGTTCAAATACACATACTAGAGCTTTTTCGGCTTGGTTCTTGTGCGAAGAAATGTTCGGCGCCTACGATTTCGGCCGTTTTTGCCGCCAAGTGCCTAGAAAGCGCGTGAATCCCTATAGGCGTAGGGAAAAACATTCAACAACCTGACGTTTATTGCATATTCAAGTGGCCCATGTTCAAATACACATACTAGAGCCTTTTTGGCTTGGTTCTTGTGCAAAGAAAAGTTCGGCGTCTACGATTTCGTCCTATTTTTCCGCCAAGTGCCTAGAAAGCGCGTGAATCCCTATAGGCGTAGGGAAAAGCATTCAACAACCTGAATTTTATTGCATATTCAAGTGGCCCATGTTCAAATACACATACTAGAGCTTTTTCGGCTTGGTTCTTGTGCGAAGAAAAGTTCGACGCCTACGATTTCGGCCGATTTTGCCGCCAAGTGCCTAGAAAGCGTGTGAATCCCT